ACGTCACTGGGTGACCAGAGCATGGGGTTCGCGTTGCTGTTGGTTGACAGTGCTATCCGACGCTTTGGGCTAGGCAGGCGGCGGCCACGGCAAAGCGGATAGCGAGTCGCACGCCAGCTCCACCTGACAACCCGGCGGCTTCTGGTGGATACAGCGCTGTCTGCCGGCTCAACTGGAAGAGCATTGTCCGACTGGTGGATAAAAAAGGTATCTGTTCTGAGTGACACGCAACATTCTCGCTGGAATGTTAATGTAGGCCGAGTATTGCCGGGGGTTTTTCATGATGTGATCATGTCTATCCTTTCTGCAGCACGCGCCATATAGCCTGCCACGCGGCTAGTTTTCTTATGTGACCTGACACCGGGGAGGGCAGATGTGTGCCGCGCCGGCGCGGATCGCTGCTGCCGCGGCGGAGAGCGGAGTATGATTGGGGGAAGGGGGGGGGGGGGTCCCGAAGAGAATGAATGGATGACGTGAAAAGGGCTGTCTAGGGCTTAAGTCCGTGGGGATATGATTGACCGGGGCACCTATCCCTTTTGGGTATTGAGTTTTGTTCGTGACGGTGGATGGTTTATCAAATGCAGATCACGGTTGATTGTGCGGGTAATGATTATTGTTGCCGGGTTTTGAGGCATGTGATGAACAAGGCTGTGCCGCTTCCTCTATGCGGCTCAATTTCGCAACTTCGTAAGCAATTAACTGTCAAAGTCGCTGAAACGTACATAAAAGCCCGGCCCATTGCTCGGCAATGGAAGGGTCACGATGGAAGGAAATCAACGCATTTCGACCCGGAAAAGAACCGAAAATGGTTCAGCTGGTGGCACAGGTAGGGGGTGGGACACAGGGGGCACGTGCTCCCCCTCAGATCCCGATTTGAGGCCCTGAAGTGCCGAAGGGCCAAAAGGGCTAGCCAGAGGTCGCATTAAGGGACCGATCCGCACGGCCAGAAACAAAGTCACGCCCGCGATTTTCTTCTCTTGGAGTCCCTGAAACAATGAGGGTCGCCTGTGACAGTCAGAGCCCACAGCGCTTAGCTGGGGGCCCTGCGTCGGTAAGTGGCCCCGAGCCGGCCACAGGCCGTGTTCGAGAGGACCCGAAGGGACTCAAAGACCCGCCCGAAAAGTACCTTGAAACCAAAGATCAAGGGTCCGACTGGAAGCCTAAAGGGCCCGAAATGGCGCGCGTGTGCTCGTGCGCAAAATTGCAGTCGGATCTTAGTAACCCGGGCAGATAACGGGATGAAACGGACTGCAGCGTGCAGGTGCATGTATCGCCCTCCTCAAGTCGCCAAGTCACCCTGAATATAACCGCTGGCACCTAAACCAAGCACGCTGGGGTTGGAAAAGTGACACAGACATGAAGCCCAGCTCCGGATGACCAATATCCACCCAACACATATTTGTGTGTTCCGCAATGCTTTGGTAGTAATTCTCTCAAACAGTTGTCACCGCAAAACTCCTCGCTTTCGTCGGTACAAAGTGCTACATTCATCCGCCAGCAGCACGCCAATTACATATTGCCATCAAAATCACGAGGTGTTACTGCGGTCTTTCCTGCAATGGATATACTAGGCACGTTGTATAGGTAGTATTCAGGCATCCGGTAGTCAGATAGGTCTCTAATCGGGGCGTAACCGATTCGGTAGAGACAATAACTTGCAGTATAGCATGCAACTGCATTGACACTCATATCCGTTCTGGTGTGCGTTCGGTCACGCGGTATCGAGTGAAATAGTTGGATTTGCCAATCCTCGTAAATGTCGTGTACATGACATATCCACATGGCGCAAACGTGTGTGTACGTATGTAGTGTGTAGTGTGTGTAGTGTGTATACGTGTGTTGGACATTCGATAGCCTGGAGTCACAGCAACGTGGGTTCAAAGCAATTCGACTTGGACAAGAGCATCCAGTTGTATTGGTGCACGCGTTCCGCCTGGTGTGTAGCTGTGGCATTGGATTGAGTGACTGTGGCTGCGGCCCCACTCTGTCGAGCGGAGTGGGTGCATCGGCTGATATAGCACGTAACGTAGGGAATTGTCAGACTTTCGAGCAAGACGATTTTACATAAATGCCAGCTAGGTCAGCTCCAAGTGAAAAGAGTGCAGATAACCAGCGTAAAGAGACCTTCATAGTGTTCCTTAACTTATGAAAGCATAAGATTGTTCGAATTTTAGTCTATGAAGTGTTAAAAATTCAAGGGATGCCTTCAAACAAATTGTGCATATGCGTGGCTGACCCTCTCGTGATAACAAATAACGAATGCAAAAAGTCTGATTTATGCAGGCGTTTGAGGTATCCCTTGCCTGGCCAGTGTGACTTCACTCAAGCCTCTGCCCATCGCCACCGGGCGCCCAATGGCCCCAGGGCATTGGCCCCATGTCATTCCCACGTTGTCAGCCAGCCGCAATCCGTGCGAGTCGGGCTGTTAAACAGTTCACAGGGGCCCGGGCTGTGGATGTCCGGCAATCGCAGGTGCGTGTCGTCGACGTCTTGAGAGAAGCAGCCCCGCTCAAAACAAAAATCGCTCGATATAGCCACGTTAATGAGAAGCGTGATGTCTCTTCATTTTACCTTTTCACCTTCTTGGGCTAGGACAGAAGCCAGCAGTTACCGCAAAATCAATTCTGTTTGAATTTTGAAGTCAAGAAACTGAGAAAATCAGGCGTTATACGACCACATGGCGTAAATCACCAGCACTCTTCATTTTACTTCGATTTAGAAGACTTTTTTCAAAACCTGCAGAATTCAGAAGCCTGCCCGGAATTTTGATTTGGATCCTACACAAAGAGACATTGAGAACCCCGTGAACGTAGAATATAGATCTAAATGGGTCAGAAATTTGTATCAACATGGCCGACCCATGCTTGTCTGGAAATGTTTGAAATTCGGTCAGAATCATTTAATCAGAGAAATTATGCGGCATAATCTTGAACATGCGCGCTCGCAAATCTTAGCAACAAGACCTCAGCACCCGGCGTCGCAGTCTCCACACGGCGCGCGGCGTCAGTCCCGTGACTTACATTAAGAGGTGGCCAAGGGGTGAGCGAAAATGATAGGACTTTTGAAGAAGCAACTTCGAACGCCTCCTGGACATCCTACATTTGCGCATTTAGAAGATCGGAGCATATGTTTGACCAGTGCAGTTTTTAGATTGACAATGAGGTAATAAGACAGCGCCATATAGCAGCATTATTACCAAGCACAAATGCAGCAATCATTTTCGCCCCTGAATTGTCGAAGACAACGTGTGTCTGAATACCAGCTGTTTATCCCGCGCTTGCTATAACAGCGTGCTCAAGACGTTCCAACACGGTGGATCCAACGGCAGTGGGTATGTCGGCCGGTCAGAATGGCTGCGTGCGGGAGTCACGTGCGGAGCGATGGCCGAAATATTCTCCAGATTCCGACTCACACCAGACAAAATAGGTCAAAGACCTGAATGTGCAGAGGTTCAAAGACCACTGACGTGCCGCCACAGTTGCAGGAAACATAAGCCTCGCTAGCGGTGTAAAATGTATATGCGTAAATGGCGTCGAGCCCCGAGTCCACGTCACGGCGGGCTGTTTATTCGCAATGCTGGCTGGGCAGTTATTAAACGAGATCGATGAGGCTCCGACGCTCATTCAGGATTATTGCAGGGTTTTTGCTTATGCATCGTCATAGACCCAATGATGAGATGTAAAAGTTTTAAGGGGGTTCCGGACCATCATAAGAAAACAAGGTGTCACGCCGGCACGGTTGGCTGGAGCGTATCACCAGCTAAGACATGCTGGGACATATTGGCTGGGCATGTGGCATGGGATGGGACATATTGGCTGGACATGTGGCATGGGATGGGATATTTTGACTGGGCGTGTTACATGGGATGGGAGATATTGGCAGGAAAGTGTTACGTTTATAATACCAAAGACCAGGTTCAGCCTTTTCTTCTCAATGCATGCTCTTTGACGCTAACGATGCCTGTGTTTGGGTAAGCAATGTCTACCTCTGATGATGTTCTCGGAAATGGGCTGTCCTTGAGCGAGAGCTTGAGCTCAAGAGTCAGGTTTTTCAAAACGGAATCGCATCAATTCTGATTCTGTCACAAACTCGGTGAATTATCCGAATCTGATTCAGCTCGATAAGCCAAATCTGAATCTGACTCCGGTAAAGGCAGACTCGTTCCGGAATCGGGTCAGATTCCACTAGAATCAAGCATATGTATATTACCTTGACGGCTGTCGCGCATTGACCTGTGCAGACGTGCCTTTAATAATGAGCATATACGAGAGTGATGACTGAATAACCCGCATTTTTATCGATAGCCTCGTTTGGCCAAGTATGAGGCCTATGGCTTACATTACCAAACAATGGTACTTCTTCTTCGGAGCGTATTGACTCCGTGGTCGTTTTGCCTACCGTCACGAGACATTCAGGGGAGCGCAGCGCATTGACAACTACGCGTTGCAAACTAAGTGGTTGTAGCGGCTTGTCAGGGGTAAAGATAGAGGAGAGATTTGGCTGAACTGAGGATGTGGTATTCACAGGCTGTCATTCTGACGTGTTCTCCAGGGCGCGTGGTCGTGGACGGAACTTGGTTCGGCGGACACAGCCGTACATTCCCCGACATATTTGAAGCAGCCTCGTTGTCGTGCGGGAGATCGAAACCATGGCTTGTGTGTTCACTATGGCCCACTGCTCTACAAGCCAAAGTGCGGATGCTCAGAGCATGGGCCCTGACATTCAGCTCAAATCGTGTTGACGTTAGCACGCGATCCGAAACTGTACACGCCGGCTGTATATTGCGGTATCTGTCCCATGTAACGGTGTTCGGTGGCCCATCCGAACTGAACTCGACCCATAAACACACGGCCGCCCGACGACATGGCAGGCTGAGGGCGCTCCACCAGCGCTGGAGACGCGATACAGGCGCGCGCTTGGGTCACGTGGCCTTGTGGCGCGCCTGCGCGCGTCCCGCAGCGGGACGAGCCCCTCGGAGGCCAGTAAACAGAGCAGTGGTGACCTGAGAGTGCGTCGTCCGGTGCTGGCAGGAACCGCAACGAGCGGCCGATGGGCGAACCGATGGTGCTGCAGCCCGCCTGCAGCTGGGCTCAGTGGGGCTGGAGCGAGTCGGACACCTCTGACTTCTCGGTCCTCTCCACCTCACCAGGTAAGGGTATGCGTCCTCTGTTACTCGCCAGGGAAGGGTCTGCTTCCTCTGTACTCATCAGGTAAGGGTCTGCGTCCTCTCTACTTCATCAGGCGAGGGTTTGTCCTACCCACCTCATGTCCTCCCCACCTCACGAGGCAAGGGCTCGCGCCCTCCGTCACCTCACCAGGTAATGGTCTGTCTTCCCAAACTCCCCACCACCGTCCCTCCTCACCTCACGATGCAACGGTCTGCGTCCTTTGTAGCTCACCAGGTAAGGGTCTTGTCCTCCCACCTCACGAGAAGCGGACCTGCATCCTTCTTCACTTTACGAAGCAAGGGTCTGCTTTCTTTGTACCTCGCCAGGCAAGGATCTGTGTCCAGGGTTCCTGACAAGGCAGGGGCCTGCGTCCTCCTGTACCTCACCAGGCAAAGATCTGTATCCTATGTTCCTCACGAGGCAAGGGCCCGTGTTCGTCCACTCCCACCAAGCCAGACCCTGCATCGCCATCTCTGAAGACGCGAAGGTTCGGGATTTGGCACTGTTCGGGATATCAGTGGTGCGGCACATCCTTCGGGGAACCATAAGACACCGGAGAGACAAGAACTCCCGCCACTGTTTATGCCGCGGGGTGTCTTGATACTGTCATGCGAGACTACAACTTTCCGGGACACGTTATAGATAAAACCCTAGTGCAAACGTTGGCGGGGACCAGTGGGGGGTAGAACAGGCCTTCCACGCTTCAAAAGCAAGTAGCGAAACGACTGCATTATCTAGCGCGTCATTGGGCTGCTCAGAAGGCAGAGTGCCTCTCCGCATTGTGTTCCTTGGACGTGGGCGACGCGGGTCTGTTACGCATCCGAGTGGTGACTGCGTATGTCAGAACTGCGTCGTCGGCCCCCTGCTCAGTGCACTTGTAAAGCGACTGCGTAAAACCACCAAAGGTCAAGGATCGGGTCCATACTACCGAGTGTCGTGGTGGCTGTCAGAAAAGGGAAGGAATTGGTTGGTTAGCGTGATAAAACCATGGGATTAACGCAGTTGATAGGGTGAAAATAGACGATTTCGAAGGATGTGACCAAAACAAAATTGTTTCGCAGTGAATGCGCAAAAAGTTGCAGCGTAATCTGCCATTTCATCGCATAACTGAGTAAAAACAGAACTGTTTGTTCTGTTTTTATGCTATCACAAATCTGCAAAATTTCAGCTTTAGCATCAGCCGAATATGTGATGCACCAGGTGTAAAGGAAAGGCAAGCACGCGGTACTAGCTGGTTCGTCGATACCATTTTGAGTTCTTAACATTCTGACAGACGATGCGGAACACTAATGAAATCCGTTCAGCTGTGATGATCAGGGAGAGTTCAGAAGCCTGACCGCTTGGCTCGTTCTTAGAAAAATAGGTCACGAAAACTTAAATGGCGAATCCCTTTTTCTGGCACAGCATTGTCCACGCGTCAAAAGTCTAGGGCTTGAAGGAAGGCAAACATCTTCCAAGTTCCCTTCATCCTACACGCTATCTTCGATCACCATGTCTGCGCTGCGAAAACATTGAAATCCAGAATCTCCCTCACATGCATTCAAGCGGTGGCCGTCTGTCGCCGGTGCGTGCAGGCCGGCCTTCTGAGGGGTCGGGGCCCGGTGCGTTGGGCGCCGCTTAGATATCGGAGTGGCACTGCCGGCGTCGCGACGGTCCGCCAGCGGCGCGGGGCACCGTTCGGGGAAGACCTTGGGCGTCGGGCGGCCGTATCGGGTGGCGCTCGGGGACGCGCCTGCGGTCCATCACGCCGTCACCCCGCCAGCCTACGGCGAACCGGCCGACGGGCGGGCCGACGCTTCCGGCAACATTGCTGACGCTGTTGCCTGCAGCCATGGCACGCTCCCGGCAGCCAACGGTGCGACGATGGGGCCCTCGTCGGGCGCAGCGCCTCTGAAGCTAATACCAACGGGATGGACGCGAAGGCTGGCCCGGCTTAAAGAAATAGGCGAGGCGTCGTGGACGAGAGCGCGGGACCGGGCAGCAGTTTAGAAAAACCTTCCAGAGATATGCCTCCGAGTCGGTTGCTGCGTTTCCCTCACTTCTGATTTGTCACCCTTTGTCGACAGACGCCGACTCCTGCCTAACCAGCTGCTCTGACGGCGACTCCATCGACTGCCTGAGCCCCACATTCTACCTGGAGGAGTTCTTCTCCAGCTTGGAGGACGTGGACTGCAGTGCGGCCGACGATGATGGCCTAATCGACTCCACAATGAGCATGTGCGACCGCTTGCTGAGCGTGCCACCTGCCAGCCCACCGCCGCCGCCGCCGCCTCCTCCTCCCCCGCCGCCGCCGCAGCCGAGCGCACGCGACATGGTCGTCCTCGGCATCAACCTGTTCAACCTGACGCACTGCACGGGCGAGCCGGCGGCGGGCCGGGCGCCGGCGGCGCTCGTGACGCACGACTACAGCAGTCAGCTGGCTCGGCTGGCGCCGGCGCCGGCGGCCGGCGTGCCCAGCTGGTCGCCGCCGCCGCCGGCGGTGGTGCGCCGCCGCGGCCCCCGCACGCAGGTCCGGCCCGAGGACAAGGTGTTCGCCTGCCAGCACCCGGGCTGCGGCAAGCTGTACGCCAAGTCGTCGCACCTGAAGGCGCACATGCGCCGCCACACGGGCGAGAAGCCGTTCGCGTGCGGCTGGACCGGCTGCGGCTGGAAGTTCTCGCGCTCGGACGAGCTGGCGCGCCACCGACGCTCGCACTACGGCATCAAACCGTACTCGTGTGTCGTCTGTCAGAAGGCGTTCACACGGTCCGACCATCTCGCCAAACACACCAAGGTACACCGACGCGGCCGCCACCTGCACCGCGTGAGGACAGCGCACCACCCGGCCAGGAAGGCGTGAGGACGGCGCCAGGAATGCATGAGGAATGAGGACGGCGCGCGAGACCACCGCGAATGCATGGGAACTGAGGACGGTCCACCACGCCGCTAGAAAGACACGAGGACGCTGTCTGGTGCCAGGAAAGCCGAATGCCTGTTTGCATATCTGTTCGTCATTGCATCGTATTGGTTGAAATACGGGACCATGACTTGTATTGATACGTTTTACACGCTAATAAGGGCGACCCCTCGATCAGCCGCCAGAAGTTGATCGTAACTGAAAGGCGATCCGTTTGTTGCTGGAAGTAACATGATATCTGGTGCGCATCTCCGATGCTGTCTGGCTGTGCCCCCATGGCCACCACTGCACGTGATGATGGCATGACATGCAAGGAATGCCTGGCACCAGACCAGCAGGAAGTGGTGTTATATTTCTATCGTGGCATCAAATGCAAGACGAAGTCGCTGCTTCTCCGGTGTCGTCCCGGATAGCGTCACCAAAGAGGGTCTGTTTGTGTACGGATGGCTGGGTGTCTGCTCCGTTTGGAGGGCAAAGAGGTCGCTCGGTGCCGCTCCCCCCGACGGCCGCGTGGTAAGACGTCGACCCCCCAAACTGTTCGATTGTTTAGATAAGTCGGTACGGCGCAAATGAAGCCGCCACCACGTCATTGTTTTGTTTGATGTCATTCCATACGTCGCATTCCATCGGCAGAAATGCCGCACATACGCAGTAAACGTGTGAATATCTTATCATTGTTGCATGGTGTACAATTAGTATGCATGACTATATATCATACCCGTCTATAACAATGCCATACCATGCCAAGTTTGGACGCGCTCTTGAATTCTTTCTGTTGTTCAAACATACCAGATAGTTGAACATTAAATGTGTTGATGTCACCTGTTACTGCTGAAATGAAATTGCGACAACGGAGCGCATAATATTACCATCGATATATCGCGTCTTGGTTTTTAATGGAGATGATACATCAACCAACCGGGATGATGAGTATACAAATAACGGCTCAATGCCTACGCATCACAACCGAAACAGCCACGCGGCGTTGATGGTAAATGTGTGCCAAGACAACCCCGTCCTAATTGAAAAGAAGGAGATAAGGGGAAAACAAAGAATGAATGGCGCCGGTGAAAAAAGGAAGCTGTCGACCGATGGCAGACAGAGGCGATGCGGACGAACACACATACATATGCAAACATCAGAGACGCAACCGCTTATCGACAGTAAGACCTTGCAGCAGCTGTACGCATGGAGAACGGAAGTACGCACGTACGTATATGAGCGCGTACATGTTGGCGCTTACACGCAATTCAACACGTGAGCTTTTGCATCTGGCGATGGCCACCGGTCATTACGAATCGCGCCGAGTTCGGGGTTCTCGTTCAACTGCTCTAGGTCTTTCCCGTCCAGTCTCGTGGCATTCGCAAGCCTACGCAGCGGCGAAAGACCGGTGCTAGCCTTTTCTTGAACTTGTATGGAACGAAAGAATTGATGCATAGAAACAACTCGACATGCGTCGTGTACCATACACATGGTGGAGTTTTGCCAAAGTGACGGTCAATCAGTGTGTACTATTTCAGCAAAATTTAGCATTCAGCGTGATGGGAACAGTGTGTTCGTCTGACGTAGTATGCATACGCTATATTCCAACCTCAAAACATGCATACTTTTAGGCAAGGATTTCTTTACGACAGACTTTCAAACGAACTGCAAACACAACATTCGTCAAGACACACTGGCTCAACCAGACCTGACAACTTCTTGTTTCACAAATGATTACAACATGATATATACACGTCGTACAGGCCGACGCCCCATCCGATAATCGATCTGTGAAGACTCAGTGAAAACAGTGTGGAAGGAATATGGAACCCATTCTCACATCGGAAGGATGCACGGACAGCCCAGCCAAACTGCATCTTTTAAACCAGCAGGTTTTCACACGAGGCTTCTTCTTCATGTCATGCATTCGGTACATGATTGTATAGAATTGGCTCACCTGACTGAGGCCGGGTGTTGTGCATTCACAAATCCGCGCCAAGTCTAGTGCCGGGACTAACCTCAGGACTGGCCAGGGCTTCGCCAGGAACAGGTCGCTACCTCAAACGCTATGCCGGGACTAAGCTCAGGACTGGCCAGGGCTTCGCCAGGAACAGGTCGCTACCTCAAACGCTATGCTGGGCACGGCGCAACCCGTACTGCACTTAAGTCCTGATTTACAATGTTGTGGTATGTTATACGATGCCAATATACGCGACGCAAATCTTTCTTGTATGGTGTCAACGCCGAGTCACGGGCTCGGGAGCGTGACTGTAAAATATGTTACGTTTGTACACAAATATGTAAGTGAATATGGGATAGGCAGGTTTGAGAAGCATGCCAATTGATCACGCTACAAGACAAACACAGTGTGCTGCACGTTACACAGGCGAGCTTCGGCAAGCGACCGCCAGACGCTGGCTAAGGGACTCTCCATGCACTCCCAAGCGTTCCGAGTGCCCTCCTCAGGCTGTCCGAAGACGCTGGCTAAGGGACTCTCCATGCACTCCCGAGCGTGCCGAGTGCCCTCCTCAGGCTGTCCGAAGACGCTGGCTAAGGGACTCTCCATGCACTCCCAAGCGTGCCGAGTGCCCTCCTCAGGCGGTCCGAAGACGCTGGCTAATGGACTCTCCATGCACTCCCAAGCGTGCCGAGTGCCCTCCTCAGGCGGTCCGAAGACGCGCGCGTAAGGGACTCTCCATGCACTCCCAAGCGTGCCGAGTGCCCTCCTCAGGCGGTCCGAAGACGCGCGCGTAAGGGACTCTCCATGCACTCCCAAGCGTGCTGAATGCCCTCCTCAGGCTGTCTGAAGACGCGCGCGCCACCGGATGCGTGCGCGCCGCATGACCGTCCTGGCGAATCCCCGGTCGCCCATTGTCGCGTGATCCCTGATTGGTCGGACGGCTTTCCATCTCGAGCTCAGCCTGGGAAGGTTATACACCACATGGTAACAGCTTCAGCACCTGAATTATGCTCCGGGACAATCGCTCGTTTTTACACTGACTTAGACCTATCCATATTTTTACGGACAGCCGTTTCCGCGTAACTCGCATTTCGATATCTAGTTGACACTTTTGATGGGTGCGTTGAAGATCCTAAGAGGTTATTGCTGCTATTATTGCTTACGTCTACCTTGTAGCTATCCTGAGGACTTCACCCCCTAATTTCGTTGTTGATATTCGCTAGAGAAATCCAAGATGATGCCCTTATCGATGGAATGGATGGAAATATCCGCCCTTAAACTGCAAAACTGCTTGAAATACACACGGCATGAAATATTGTGACCCAACATCACGCAGTCGAACCCTAGAATCCACCGCCATGTCTGGCGCCACTCAGCCTGCGTGGGTCCTGCCACCAGTTGACAACGGCCGGTTCGGGGACCTGCGCGCCGGCCACCGAGCGCGCGGGGAGGGAGGGGGCTGTAACACCAGCCGCAGAGCCGTGATGGCCGTCACTCGCGTGCCCCGGGGCCGGGTCCGGTTACGTGGCGGGAGAACGCCGGCGCCGGCACCGGTCGCCGTACCCTGACAGTGATCCCGGAGTGGCGGGGTGGCCGGCGCGGCGGTCCCGGCGCCGCCTGGGCCTGGTCCGTGTCCAGTGCACACCGGAGCCGTCACTACTGAGTCCGCGTGCCTGTTCAGTGATCTCGGGGTGGCGGGGTGGCCGGCGCGGCGGTCCCGGCGCCGCCTGGGCCTAGTCCGTGTCCAGTGCACACCGGAGCCGCCACTGCTGAGCCCGCGCACCTTTTACGTGTTACAAGCCCGCGCAGGTTTTAGCGGGCATTGGCGCCACATCAGCCGGTTTTGGTGGTCTTTCAAAACCCAAGATTTGGAAGGAGAAGAGAAACATTGTTTTTGTGGTCTTAAACGCAGTGAATTGGTTTTGTTTAAACTGCACGCCAAATTTATTATACGGTGGAAATTCAAGATGGATAATTATGCAATACATAATAACACTGGGCAATCTTGACCATAGAAGGATACATTGCATATGACAACATACATTATCTAGCTAGTAAGCTGAAGTACACGATTCACACCACAGCAGCAGCCAAGACGCCAAGTCGTTATCACCCTGCGCGGCCCTGCTTAAACTCTTATGTTCCTCAATGAGACTGATGCTTCTGCTGCAAATGCAAATATATGAATATGGATCACCAGAGACAGCGAAGCAAGAGAAAAGAGTAGGCGATAAAGGCAACACCCCTCAGCTGATAACACTGAATTAAGTATTCGTTTTCTATTTAAATGTTCTTTGAGACTAAGGTTCGAGCGCAGAGACAAACGCACCTTTTGACATGAAACCGTTTTGAGCGATGTTGCCGGATGTATCATGTTCAGTGCCTCAATGGTGCCTCCGCTACTCCGAAAGAAGATAATATATCAGCTAACTGGGTCTCAAATCAGCGTTATACATAATATATCAGCTAAAAGGGTCTCAAATCAGCGTTATACATTCACGCCACATGGACTATGCTTTAAACTGAGTTCCGATTTTCGTCATCCAGTCCTAAGCAATCTACTAGCTCCAAGGGATATATTATGCTGCAGGCCTTTTATTATCGCTACAGATGGTTGCAGGCCACTTTCGCCTTCTTCGTTTTTGCTTTCAGACATCGCTTTCGGGTGTATTTTTTCGGTGTCATTACTTTCTGCTCTTTTCCACAACCAGTTGTTGCTCATTAGCTTGTGGGTAGATATCAACGGCCCTGGATGAGTAAAAGCATCGATCCCACAACCACTCGCAAAGATAGACACGATTTACAGCTGGCCACAGATCAGCCGCCCCTACGGTGACTCCCGCAAACAGCTAAGCAAATATTAGCTTTTACCAATTTTGATGGCATAAACATTCTGGTGATTCCGCTATCTGATTGGATACGTGATTACCAGGTTAGCGGGAATGAATGCACGGCTCATGACAGGCCGCGGTTCTCAGGTGGTACAGGGTGCGATCACCGGGCTTCGGTCCATACGAGTTTTCCACAAGATAATTTGATTATTTACTTAGTATTTACCTGGCCACAGGGGGCATTCAGGGGAGGCACGGGGACACAAGCTCTCTTCTTTAACAATGTTTTATATTGATAGCATATGATAAATAGTTTGTGTTATGGTGATACACATATGAATTTATGGCGACAATTAAGACATCAAGGGAGACACCAAAGAGTATTTAAGCTAAATAATGGAGTCATCCCCGCTTTGACCCCTTGCACACGCCTCTTCCTTACTAATTGGCCACTTGGTGCTTGAAGGGACATTTCACTAAGCAATTACGATCATATCTTCAAGTGTAGCATTGTCTTCAAGAGATAGATTGCCTTTCTTCATGCAAGAGATATCTGGAGCGGATGAACCGTGGAAAATTTGGCTGGCTAAACCTTTCTGGTCACTCCTGTTTCTACTACTGTTGAAAGCATGCGAAAGTCCTAAGTTGTCATGTGTGTCTGTGAAGAAATATTAGACTTACGGGCCTTTTTGATGTTTTGAACGCAATTTCCTCGCACTGGCATGGAGGGTTTCCATATTTGGGCTGTGGGGCAGGGCGCCGCGCCCACACACAGATTGGCAACTTCGCAGATGTCTGCCACGTCCCACAGCATACCTGTCAGCTTAATGGTACGAGCCTTAGGAAAGCCACGGAAAGAAATTGCATGAAATTGACCACAAAATATTTTCACAACTAGACGAAAACTCTGTTTTGTTTGCTGTATGATCGCATAGCGTTTTACTACCCCCACATTACATTCAGCAAATGACACAGTTGGGGTGTTAAAATGCAGTTGTTGGGATGCCAGTTGGGATAAAAAAGTTGAAATACCAGTCATCAGTCTTGGCCATTGCTACTTCCATCCATCTCATCCAATGCCACGACTATCCGAAAACAGCGTTA